GTGGTCTCATAAAGTCTTCTATCTTTCAACACTGCAACTGGCAATTGATTAAAAGCTAGGTTCTTGAAGCGTCCACCGCTGAAAATACCATTTTCAGTTCGATTTATTGGTTAAACATGCCACCAACTCGTTAAACCATCCACAACCACGATCGAATCCTCCATTATTTATAGTTACATTGCTTATAACTTTCTTATTCATAAACTGCAGCATGAAAGAGATGATTATTAGAACTACCAGCCTTGGAATGGTGAAGGCAAGAAGGATAGATGCGACAGCTTTCTTCATTATTCTGTGTGTGTTTGGGTTTGTGGGGGTGGGCTAGGCTTGGTGATTTCACAGATAAACAGTGACCAAAAACCCTAATTTTCTATTTCTGTGATTTTCTTAAGAGGGTACAAGGGGGGATTTGAACGTTCTTTCCAAAAATAGGTTTGTCTTTAGTTTACAGATCTCACTCCTGTAGGCTGTGGCCTTTAATGTTTATGACAAAAGCAAATCTATGAACCGTTGGATAAAGATATTTTGGTCAAGAGCTGGTGCGGTTAAGTCTGTCTCTGTGTGTGAGAGAGTGAGAGAGAGAGTCATACTGACAGAAGAGAGTGAGCATAAGCAGGCAATTGTATGGAGAGTATACATTTGTGGATGCGTGTGCTCACTTCTCTTTCTGTCAGCTTAATTCCCTCTCTTCCTTTCTCGTTTATGGCTTTTGCTTTTACATCCCCAACCCGCAATTGTATGGAGAGTATACATTTGTGGATGCGTGTGCTCACTTCTCTTTCTGTCAGCTTAATTCCCTCTCTTCCTTTCTCGTTTATGGCTTTTGCTTTTACATCCCCAACCCCGACGTGTTCGTTCGACTCGCAGGGATCGAGTCTACACACTAACCCAAGACCTAAAATTGCTTGCTTTATTGAAAACTGAAAAGTAAAGCAAGATGAACAGAAGTGACGGGGCTGCAATTTCAAGAAGATGAAGGGACTCGCAAAGAAAGCCAGCCACTTAAAAAATGACTATTCAAAGCTATTCAACCACTACAGCCACACATATGCAGCCATAAATGCTCCTACCAGCTCAGGCTTCACTGTGTATCCCATTATCCTATCCTGATAGGTCACCTGTACAAATAAACACAATTTTCTGTTTTACTTTCTTGGTGGAAAAAATTGACCACTTTCTTCCAGCAGGAGAGGTTCAACCACTTTAGTTTTTGGCATTTTCTTGATGTGATTTTGTTTATCCACTTAATTTTTAGCATTTCTTTGATCTTATCCATCATAGTGTGATGGAGATTGGAAGCTCTCGAATTTTGATGTCTCTTCTGAAGAGAATGAAGTGGGTTTGGAAAGGACCGTAAGGTACTATTTTGATTTAACGGAAAAACTTTGTGTTTTCTTGGGGCCATCAGGCGATTAAAATATATTTAACCTAATATTATACTGTTTATCTTGCCATTTCCGTCCACTATCTGCAACAAAAATACAGTGATTTTGCTGAAATCTTTCATATTCCCTCTGCCTCAACTAAACTCTAGATCCAACCAGCTGGACCTTTTTCCTTTGTAACTAGCAAAGAAAGGGTCTTGATCCCGTGAATTACTTCTGAAGAATTTAGGAATCATCAAATTTTGTTTCTAAGTGCAAAAACTTGGGTTTTTATTTCTTCGTGGTCTGATTTAAAAGTATGTGGTTCTTTCTATCCTATTTCTGGCAGAAAATTTGATTCTTTTATTTATATTTTATGTGATATAATTTCTTAGACAATTAACGCAGTTTTAATTCTATTTCTAGATCTTGAACATCGTATGGTAATGTTTACTTTCTATTGAGTGCAAGGAACTTTGGGTGCTACCTGAACGTGGGAAGGCTTTTGGTTTTCTTCAGCGGGAAGATACCCAGAGAATCATGGGCATATGGAGAAGAAAGGGAATTTTCCATGTACAGGTTTGGGACTTGCATCAGTACTATCTTTATGATGATTTATATTTATCCCTTTTTTATAAAGTCCTTTGTCGATTAGTTGTTAATATTGCTATATAAGCACACGATAGTGTAATTCTGTGACAACAGTTACTCCTACTTGCCACAAGAAATTTCTAGCTTCAATTGCAGAAATTAACTTGATCCATGCTTAGTTTTCATGTCATTGTATATTTTCAGATTCTTGTGATATTGTTGAATTGTGTTTAATTATCTCTTGTTTCGGGGCAAATTATATGTTTTTGCTCTATGATTTTAACTTAATTAGGATATTTGAATGTATAATTACCTCATATATTGAAGAGTTACCAAGATTGTTTGCTTGTTTTAAGGAAAACAATTAGGATTTATTTCGAGAAATTTTCTTGTGTTTGATTTATTTCCTTCTATAACCATATGGTTCAATTAGGTCATTTCCCATTTTATTTTGGTAATTTTCCATTTTTGATAGAGATTTTAAGCATAAATAGACGTAGATTTTTTATTTAGATAAATTATTGAATTGAATTAAGTGCACTGTTGAATGTTGATAACTTTCTCTCTGACTTTTCACTTCTCTCTCTCTCTCTCTCTTTTCCTCCCATTTCCTATCATTTTCTTGTGTTCTATATAGTGCCCCATCGGCGTTACATCTCGAAAGAAGTTTCTATATTAAACGCATAATTGAGGTCGTATGTGTTCTATTTACTTTGGGATTAAGATTTATGCTTGCTTTCATGATGCCTGATACTTAATTGAGCACGCATTTGCAAGATTTGGTCTGCAGATTGGATTGCATAGTTTTTCTTATCCTACAGGAAGAAAACCTATTTTATGTTGGTAAGAGACATAACTGTGTTTTCAGTTTGTTAATTTTGTTGCAGCAGATCCTTCATATGATTATCAAATTGCTCACGGACGAAGTTGGGATTTTTTGTGGGAACATCTGCATCCAGATCTTTAAGAGGTAAGTGGCTTTCATATTCTGCAGTTATATTTATGTACCATATATATTTTGCATGACCAGGTTAAAGAAAATGAAGGAGAAAAATGTTATCAAATCATTATGATATCGCAGCATCTAGGAACTCTGACGTTAAGATGATTATTGCTTGAGGTGTAAACCCCAAAGATTAGATTTTTCAAGTCAACTTTGAATATTGTTTATTTTTACTTTGAATATTGTTTATTTTTTGGCTGGAGACCACGTTGGAAATTTATATTTGTAATGGTCTTTGTATGTATATCCCTTCGAAGGTAATATAATGTAGTAGTTGATTTCGATCTTGTGCTTTAAATCTTATACAATGTGCCTAATTCAGATACAAGGTGTGATCTCTAATGATTTTAAGATGTTGATTAGTTAGGGAAAGAGAATAGTGAAGTGGACAACACTATTCGGTAATTAGGCTTCTTTTTGTGTTCCTTCTCCTTTTAGTAAATATAACCATATATGAGATTATTTTTTTTTGGGAGGGGGTGGGGGTGTTCTGGTAGAGGTGGGGTTCTGTTGGACCTAAACCAGTAAATTAACAAGAGAAATAATGCAAAGGTGAGCACCCGACTTCTTCGACGTTACATAAATGACCTAGGGTATATCAGGAACTAGGTTTGAAGTTTGTCTGTGAATTACAAAAATAGAGCAATAATTAGGTTTTTTATTCCTATGCTTGAGCTTGAAAAGTGTCTGATACTATTTTTAGTTTCCTTAATCCCCATGGAAGAACTTAGAGTGTGTTTGATTGGTATGGAAAATATCACCTAGAAAAGAAAATATTTTTCATCTTTTGTGGAAAATAAAAATCACCTCTACCTAAGGAAAATGTTTTCCCTAAAAACAAGAAAAATTAGGCATATTTTCAAAAGTTGGAAAATATTTTCCATGAAAAAAAATAGCAATCACACACTTTAAATAGGAATTTGGGTGAAAATTTAATATTTTTCATGGAAAATAAATGTAATCAAACACACCATTATATCTATATTATGGCCTTTGGTTAGATTTGGGGTGCAGTGGGGTGGGGGGGATTGAATTTGTTATCTTATGGACAATTTTTCTTGAAGATATTTGTTAATATGGACAATGAAATGGATAAGTCGATGAAAACAGTCATAATTTCTTGAAAAGTTCATCATTTTCAATGATTTTAACTTGTAGTCAAGCAGTAAAAGTAACATGATATGAGTCTTCATTTAATTCAAATGATATAACGTATAGGACATTGTATTTCAAGGACAATTTGACAACGATATCGTTATGCTAGTTGAGAATATTGGTTATATTATATATAGTTGTTGTCAAAACCTAATGCTGCAAACAATTTAGACTATCATATGAGAAATTGTCCTTGTAGTTAACTTCTCTACTTTTTGAATATTATCTCTTGCAATTTTTTTCTATTCTACTATAAAATAATAAAAAAGTGGTGATTAAATGTTTGTTTCTGTTTTTTCATTATAAATAACCTAAAATTTTGTACATTTCTATTATTGTCCCTTGTTTGATTTTGATTATTTGAGAATCACTTCTTTCCCACGTTTATATATATATTTAACCACACTTTCTAAAAAAAACTCATTTTTTTTTATCATTTTCCTATTTTTTTTTAACTGTATATTCACCTAAAAAAAAAAAAAGAAAAAGAAAAGAAAAAACACTTGACAAAGAATCACTCTCTATAAATCTTCATCTACCAAGCACCTCATTTGTTCCTTCAAGCAAAATCTCTGCATTGGACTTGAGGATCTTACGTACATTATGCATGAGCTCCATCTTTCTCAAAACTTATTTTCAACCACGCATTCTCCTATAAAATAATTTTACACGTCAATTCAAATTTTTTTTTCAATTTTTTAACTATACATTCACCTGAAAATCACTATTCCAAAACATGTTTTTCCCAAAATAAAATAAAATGGGGATTCACTATTCTGAAACATGTTTTCCCAAAAAAATGGGGATCAAATAGGTCTATAAACCACAATTATGTGTTTCTCTTATTTACTACAGTTTTTTTCCGACATATAATGAAGTTTTCTGTATTTTTTCCACGTTTCACTATTCATAACAATTTTTTTACTTTCAAGTTGTACTATGGTTTATATTGAACGTAATGCTACCCTTTTCATGTAGAATCACGTTAGCACTATTAACATTCAAGTACACCAAAATTCCATTCAAATTTTAGATTTTAGGGAACTAGTGAGGCTTGGGTGTTGGGTGGCATAGGCTTCAGGCAATTTACTAAAGAAAAAACTACTCGAATAAAGGGCAGAATGGTCCTAGTATTATAATAGCCAGGACCACTTATTATATTTTGGATATTTCATAAATGAAATCATTTGGGTCCACGTAACCATAACATTTTCTAAAAAAAATTCGTGAGCTAATAATATAAATCATTTTTCCAACGTTTAGTAAAAATAGAATAAATATATCACCAAATACATATT